ATGTTAAGTTGGTACCTTGTGGTCTCATCAGCTAGCTTCCGTTCTTGCCCCCCTTTCTTTCCCTCTGCATGAGGATATATTCCAATTTTACACTGTAAACTTCCACTGGTTGGCGTGGAGAATTTTCTGGCGTGCTATTAAAGTGTAGCGCTGTCTGACTCCTCTGGTCAGAACGATTTTCTGCTCTGTTGTTGACTGGAATCTTCGACGTCGTTTTGTCGATCTTCGGTTCAGATCGTCCGTCGCCCTGGTTACCAGAGTCCGTGCAGGCTGTGAAAAGTCGGCAGTCAAAACCCGCTGTGCGCCTTCTGGCAGCCAGAGGCGCAGCAGCACGACAGCTGCTGCAGAATATCGAGAATATTATAAGCTATCTTTCGGCATTGCTTTCACCTCGGTCAATTAATGCATCTCATTTATTGACGACTGCAGCCAGGATCTCTAAGCAAACGACTGCCACAGTTCAAAACGCAAACGTTTGTCAAAGAAGGTATGCAGGATTGTTTGGGATTTGAAGACGAAGGTCTTCTTTACACGCAGGTTGTCTAAAATTAATCCATTTCCCACACAACGCGACACGAAGGTGATGTGACTGAATTCTTCAACGACACGAGCTGTCGGTCGTGCGTCCACAACCTGTTGCAGCAGGAAAGCAGTTCCAGGCTATACTGCCCAAACAAATGATTACGGAATGATGACATTCTCTGAAGTCCGATTTGCTGAAAGCTTCGAGCGAAAACGAAAGAAAACATTTTCAATGTTTGCCTTAAAATGAAGAAACTTTCACATAATTCTAAGAGAAATTGTAGCCCTCTCCATCTTTAAACCGCAAGAAAACTGAAAAGCAAATTTACGAAGAACGACCTCGTTCTGCCTTCGGCAGAGAAAGGAGCAAAAAGCGTCATAATAAATAAAAGTGATTATCAAGAAAAGATGATTTCGTAGCTTCAGAACTGAAACATTTATTCAGTAATACGGAAGAATTTCAATCCTTCCACCGTAGTCCCAAACGGCGTTGACCAATTCATGGTTAGGTTTGTCATATAGAAAAACGTACAAAACATCAACGAGGCGTCTGCTGCTTTCAATTGATTCTTCAGTTATGCATAGGCCATATGAACTGTTGAAGCTTCACAAAGAAGGCAATCCATTCGCATCATTTTCCCAACCTTCGGATCCATTATTTATGAACTCAATAAACAACTAAATAAGATGCTAAAATTTGCAGTAAAAGACCTAAAATTCCGGTTGTAAGGTGCCACCATACCGTTAGCTGAAATTTAGCAGACTGCTGCCTCCGCCTCCAACCGATTGAGCATGATGTCTCTTGATGTAATTACTCTGTTCGATAATGTTAATGCAATGGATTTTCGTCGAAAAACTGGAGTATACAAAAGAAGAATGGAAAGAAACTGATTCCTCTGTTAGTAAACTGACCTTTCTGATTTAACCCAGTTGTTCGATGTAGTAATCTGTAATGCTTCTTATTCGATGATAAGATTTTTCAACAAGAATATCGACTACCACTGGAATAACCCACCCCCAGTGTTTCCCAGGCTGAAATTTTCATGGACCCAGTTGAAACCGAGGCTTCTACTTATGTCCTTGTGATATTAAGCCGATCTTATAGTCTAAATGCGGACAACATTTTCATTTTACATCCTTATTCACCCATTTTCTCAACAAATTCGTTGGATTCTTTAATGCTTTTAGACCAAAAGGAATGCATAGCCTTCACTCCAGAAACAGAAAAGGAGGGAAAACTATCGTTTGTCGAAACTCTGGTTAACAACAATTCACCTGATCCATTCACTTTGGCTGTTTTCAGAAAGTCGTAAAATTCAGATAGGCAGTTACATTGTACCTCCAACGCATCCCGTATCGTTCTCCCTAATATCATTAAACGTATGAGACCAAGAGCTCAACGATATTGTTTACAACCTGACATTCTTCATAAGATGTGTTGCTTGTTGAATAAGATGTTTCGCAAAATTGGGTACCGAAGGTTTTATTTAAATTCTATTCTTCATTACTCTGGATGTGGTCCTCAGTAAAGCTGGAAGGGGCTTACATATGTCGGTTCCATTTCGTACAATCCTGGCGTCT